AGGCTGACAGCTTTGTGGAAGCAGCCACTTAAAGGCCTGAGCTAGGGCCAGGCCCCCCTTGAAGAATATTAAAAAATTATTTTAGTAAATTCTTTACTTCTCACAGTTATGGGTGACAATGTATCTCCTAAAATTTGTATGTTGGGGGCCTGCCCCTTAGCTCAGTTCTTTAAGTGGCTGCTTCAACAAAGCAGTCAGGCTCAGGTTGCTGTGGTTCGATCCCCACAACTCAAGCCAGCCAAACCTGACCTGAAGGCATTCAGAGAGGGGAAAAAAAAAAAAAAAAACCCTTCTAAAATTTGTATGTTAAGTTCTAATCTCTAACACCTCAGAATATGACCTTTGGAAATTAGATCATTGCAAATTTATTTCATATGAGTTTCTATTGGAGTATGGTGGGACCTACTCCAATATGAGAGGTATCCTTTTTTTTTTTTTTGGTCCTTGAATGCCTTCAGGGCAGGTTTGCCTGGCTGGAGTGTTATGGGGATCGAACTACAGCAACCTGAGGCTGACAGCTTTGTGGAAACAGCCACTTAACTGAGCTAGGGCCAGGCCCCCCCCTTTTTTTTTTGAGGTGTCCTTTTCAAAAAGGGAAATTTATACAGACACTCATAATGAAAGAACACTACAAAGGTAAAGACAGAGATCAGGATTATGTACTTATAAGCCAAGGAAGGCCAAAAATTGCCAGTGAAGCACTAGAAGTTATGATAAAGGGGTAATTTTATTTTTTTTGAACCGGGGACTGAACTCAGGCTCTTGTGCTTGCCAGGGAAGCGCTTATTCCACTGAGCCATCTCCCTGGCCCCAAGGGGTAGAATTTTATTCATTTCTTTTTCTTTTTCGCGGAACCGTGGATTGAACTCAGGCCCTTGTGTTTGCCAGGCAAGCATTTATTCTACTGAGCTATCTCCCCAGCCCCTATTCATTTATTTTTATTTTTTTATTTTTTTTTGGCAGAACCGGGGATTGAACTCAGGTACTTGTGCTTGCCAGGGAAGCGCTTATTCCACTGAGCCATCTCCCCGGTATCCCCTATTCATTTATTTTTCTCATAGTCTTTAGGAACCAATCCTAACCCTGAGCAAACCTTGATTTTGACCTTCTAACCTCTAAGGTTATATAATAACCTAAGGTGATAAGTTTCTCTTGTTTTACCTAATCTGTAATACTTTGCTACTGATACTCAGATAACACACTTACTCAGTATTATTCACATATATGTTCATAAGGTTATAATTTGGTCCCCATCTCTTCAAAAATTCAATCTCTTCTCCAAGGAGTCTGCAATGGCTCACTACCAGTGAAAGTTCCTGAAGCATCTAGAAAAAACAGGGGGAAGGGTAAGGAAATTACAAAAAATATTTCAATGCTTAATGGTTCTGTAATAAAGAACCACCAAAAGTTAAACAACTAAATATATATATATAAAATCTCAGGATACTATTTAGAATTTTAGTTCTGTTACACACACATTTTCCTTTAAAAACTTCAGACTTTACCTTGGGTACCTGATGCTGTGTTGTACATCTCTTCTTCCAGGATTCCTGTTCCTCAATGTATTGAAAAATAAGTTTATGAACCAAAAGGGAGGAAGAAGGAGCTTTATCCTCTGGGGGGAAAAAGAATACAAAGGCAAGATATTATCATTATTCATATATTTCATATGAGCCACATGTACTGTATTACCTAAGCAAGAAATACCCTCAAACTATTAAGTGCCAAAGCATACTCTTCCATGGGAATGGTGGTACACACCTATAATCCCAGCACTTGGGAGGTCAAGGCAGGAGGATTGCCATGAGTTTGAGGCCAGCCTGGGATACACAGTGAATTGAATGCCAGCCTAGACTAAACAGTGAGATTTTTTCTCAAAAATACAAAAAAAAAAAGTCAGGCTCAGGTTGCTGTGGTTTGATTCCCCACAACTCAAGCCAGCCAAACCTGCCCTAAAGG